GGTCAAGCCTACGTATTCTTGGAGATATTGCCTAGAAAAGCACCTTAGGTCCTGTGATGTAGTTGAACTTGAGTATGGATGGTCTATTTTTCATTACCTTTTCTGCTCAGCGGGTAGTACAAATACAGCTCATCAAGCTCTTATCACTCAAAGCAGCCAGCCTTCTTTGGAAAGGAGTTATCTTGTTGCTCTGATGTCTTGGGATGCTGATGTTAATGGCTAAGAAGGGCCACCCAAGGTGATGTTTCCCTACTTTTTCTTTAAGTGTTTCAAGTGATCTTGTTTCCTGAGATGTTTCAGTAGCATTCCAGAAAGTGCCATGGAAATGGTTATCATGCTAAAGGTTACAAATCGTTTGTGGTTGAATTTGTTATTAGATGGGAAAAGTCAACTTAGCATTTAAAATGATTCACTCCTGGCTGGGCAGGGGCTCACACCTGAAATCCCAGCACTTAGGGTGGCCAAGGCAAGCAGATCCCTTGAGCTCAGGAGTTTAAGACCAGCCTGCACAACATGCTGAAACCCCATCTCTACAAAAATTATAAAAATTATCTGGGGGTGACAGCGTACACCTGTAGTCCCAGCTTAGGTAGGACTTGAGCCCAGGAGGTAGAGGTTACAGTGAGCTGATATGGTGCCACTGCATACCAGCCTGAGCAACACAGCCAGACCCCATCTCAAAGAAAAAAGATTCACTCCATGAATTAATGTCATCCAGAACCAGGTGTGGTACTCACCTCAATTTTTTGCTTTCATTTAAAAGGTGCATGAAACCATTAGGGTTATTAATTTTATATCATATGGAGAAAAGAAAGCTTGTAGCTAGCTTTTAATTATAGCTCTTCACATGCTCTTGGCCTAATTAAGGTTTGCTTTACTCCAAGGGTGGAAGAAGCACGTAAAGCTTTGCAGTGGTACCGTTTGTATCTCAGTTCTTTGAAAAAGCCATGAAAATAATGCCCCTCAGTGATTCTTGGATTTGGCAATGGTATGGAAAATCGCGTAGGTGTTTGTGATGGCCTGCTTTTTCATTGTAGTATAGTCCTGCCCTCCTTTGAGCTGATGGTCAGAAATCCAAGGTAGACAGACACCTGCCCTTATTTTCAGTACTTCACTTTCTCCAGCCTGCTGAGTCCTGTCACCCTGTAGTGTCTACTTACGTGCAACTTGAAGAATTTCTGGGAAATTGACCAAAACAGCTCTTTGGAAAGAAGTCAATCCTGAGCCCCTAAGGGAATGCTGGCTAAGGTGACTTTGACTAGAGGGTTGTCTCCTGTGATGTGCTCCTAGTGGGGCAAGAGGAGGGGTCAGTCCTTTGCTTTGAGCACCTTTGGAGTTCACTACCCATGGACACGTTGCTACCCTCTGAGGGGGAATGGAGGGAGCAGAGCCCTCTACTACTATCCCATTTTATGGAGGTTTGATGAGGATCTTAGGTGGATAAGCTTCAACTCAGGTCCTTGCTCTTGATTTGTTAAATTATTCTATCCTCTCTGAAGCCAGGGAGATTTGAGAATTTCCATGTCCCCATTATGAAATTGATGATGAAGAGTTTTCATCTAGTGAACAGGGTTCAGATGAATGCCATCACAAAGTCAAGCCTCATTTAAAATATTTTCTGGTATTTTAATTTTTCCATTTACAAAGCAGAAATGAAATGAAGCTCTCTTTTGTTGTTGCACATGAAACATTAGGCCTAGATTTAGGGGAAAGAAATGACAGTCTTGAACTCTTTGTCATTAGTTTAGCAAATATTTGTTTGACATCTCTGGTGCATTAATCCTTGTGCTGGAATATGTTGATGCGGATGCAGGAGCCACAGTCACCTCCTTTAGAAATCTTACAGAAGAGCACAAGACAGGCCCATTAACAAAGGGAGCATGTGAGCAAACAGCTACAGGTCCTGGAGAGGTGAGGGTAGAGGAAGGAGAATAGACCTCAGGCTCTATTGCTCAAGGAAGTAATGAAGAAAATAGAATTTTAACTGAACTTTGAAGAATAGATAGGATTTTGAGTGCTGGAGATGGGGTACATGGGTACAGAGAACATTCTAGTTGAGAAGAGTTAAATAATGGTCACTACCAACACTTAGGTTTAATCCTATGTACCACATTGGGTGAGACAGTCATTACGTACTTCATGGAAGGAGCCTCTGTTTATGCCATTTGAAGACTGAGGAAACTGAAGTTTAAAATTTTGGAATACATTACCCAAGGTCACCTAGCAAAACATGAGAAAGCTAGGGTTTAATGGGGAAATACTCAAACCCATGATCTTTCCCCTTGGCCACTGTGTAGTGATTAAGGAAGGGCATGTTTGGAGAACAGGAAGAGGTCCAGTTTGCCTGTAGAGAGGGGAGGAGTGGAAGAAAAACTTGGGAGCACATTATGGAAGACTAAATACCTGCACACTGCACCTATGATTCAGGGTTTTATTCCAAAGGCAATGATGAATCACTGGAGGATTTCAAATATGGAAATACGGAATTCAGCGGTTTGAGGGGCACAGCGGCCCTAGTAGAAGTATTAGGTGGCAGTAGCAATGGAGGGAGTGTTGCATTGAAGCATGACAGAGCTCCTGCAGAACCTCAACAGGTGGCAGAGGAATGGTGGGCTTAGGTCAAGTGGAGTGGCACCAGGTGAACAGCTTCTTGTGTGTATAACTGGTATGCTTCAGGAGTGAAAAAGGCTTACCACCCAATACCCGGGTTTGAGTTCCTTAGCCTCCAAAGACAGCAGGTGTTTTATACATGGATTCCCCTTCCCCGTTTATGGGGTGGGGGCAGCAAATGGAATTTTAGATTAACTAGTTTAAAGAGTCAAGGCAATCCCACCTGGATTCCTTCTTAAAAAGAAAGGAAGCATGTGTCCAAGAGTCCCTTCTGCTGAGTTAACAAGACTCCTTCAGTTCATACTCATCCCTGAGATTGAGGCACCTGCAGAATTACAAAAGGGGATTTGTCCTTTTCTTTTCCAGAGAGCTCCCTTGATTTTCCCCACCCCTGCCAAGGTAGACACTCATGAATGCAGTCATCCACACCTCCACGCGTGCGCACACACCAGCCATCCTATTTTAAAACTGACAAAAGCAAAACCAACTCAGGATGTCTCAGGACACCATAAACCAAAATAGTCGCTGGAAAAAACAGTGATGGTAGGTTCCAGATTTAAGATTCATAAAATGGTAAAATTTCCAAAAATATCTCTGATGAAGACAGTCATATGTTAGTACGTTTTTAATTTTGCCAAGAAAAGCTGCTGTTTTAAAAAAAAGAATATCTTTTACATTGCACGAATTTATCTTCATGAAAACCTTGCTGCATTGTCCTTATTTTTCTCATTCACGGTCATCCTGTGAATGTTTCATCAAGAAGCCCCAGTTTCCTTTCTGTACCCTCAAACCGCAGGAGGTGATTCTTCAGTTTCCTCCTGGGGTGGAAAGAAGGGCAGCGAAGAGTGCTCTGTGCTAAGCTGACCCTTTCCTCTCGACCCCAGGTGTCAAGAGCACATGCCAGCCTCCCCCAACTCCACCCCACTTTGGATTCAGGCTTTGTGTCTTGCTTCTTAGAACTTCTCATTGGCCTGCATGGATCCTGCTTGACTGACCATGACTTCAGAAAGTGGTATAAGACCAAAAAGTTAATATATCTTCTAAAGAATTATCATGTGGGTACTGATCTCTTTTTCAAATGTTAACACGAAGTTACAGAAGATTGGACCAGACCCTTCAGAGATAATTTAGTTCAACCTCATCCTTTTACAGTAAACACAAGAGCCCACGGGAATTAGCTGACTGGCCCTAGGTGCTGGGCCAGCACTCAAGCCATCCTCCTAATCCATGACTCTTCATCATGAACTGAGCTTCCCCTGTGCTAAATCCTTGTGCTTTTCTTTGGCCGTGAAAAACCTGTTAACTCTCAGTGCTTTTTTATGTGTAGAAGGTGACAAAGCAGAAGGAAAATGGCAAGAAGAAAGATAACCAAAGAAAAATCAGATAGAAGGCAGGATACCCAGTGTGAGTGTAGCAGCTGCACCCAGTTTCGGCATTTATTTCTAGGGTCTTACTGGGTGGAAATATTACATGGTATCTTCAGATCCTCATAATCGCCTCTTGTTCCCTGGGAAGAATCTCTGTTGCTTGCCAAGCTAAACTCTTGTGTTCAGGACAGGGAACACAAGAATTGGGGTGCAGGCTCTACATCACAGCCCTGCAATTATCTCTGGCCCATTGAAGGAGGTGGGCCAGTGGTAACTGCCAGTTTGTCATGTAGAGCCTGCACCCCAATTCTGGGATCCTCTCTATGATAGCACGGTGCCTACTGTGCTGCAAGTGATTCTGAGTCATGGGCCCAATTTCTCTAGTCTGTGAAGCCTAATTCATGGATCCAGATGATTGTACAACAGAAAATGATGATGATAAAGTTGGACTAAATTATCCCTGGGCCTGCAGCGGTGGTTCTCAGAGTATGGTTTCCACATCAGCAGCATCACTATCATCTGGACCTTGCTAGCAATACAGATTCTTGGCCCCCAGACCTACTGGATCAGATACAGTCACAGGGACCCATGTTTTGTTAATAACTCACCCTCAGGTAATTCTGATGCTGCACACTCAAGTTTGAGGAAGACTGGCTTAGGGAAAGCGGCCAGAGGCCTCTGAGAGGCAGAGCAGGTCACCCGTAATTGGATTGGTCTGAGCACATGTGCTAGGACCAAGAGGGTGAAAGGCTGCGGGTTCTTGCAGAAAGGCAGCATGGTAAAGGAGGGTCTCTGAGGGCAGCAGCCTGGGAGTGCCTTTCAAGCCCACCCCCTAGGAAATTGAGGCTAAAGTCATTAGAGCATTTCTTTTGTTTATACTTCCCTACAATTGTTTTCTCTCAGAGCAAACTTGGCTCAGCACAGCCCAAGGTAAATTTTCACAGATTCTGCAACTAATAAATTTCAATCAGGACTTTACATGGCTCTGATACTGTTGGTGACTGGCTTTTTCTTCTTGTTTAGTTAGTAACAGGAGTGTGGGAAGGCAAATACAACTTCTTCTGTCAGGGCACGCGCACCGCAGGAGAATCAGATATGAAGGTACTGTCTCTTTTTCAGAAACTTTATAAATGTTGGGTTTTTTAAATAAAGAAATTGTATAAAATACAAAATGGCCTGTAACCTCACTGCCCCAGCAATCCCTGTTGACTTGTTTAAAAGAATAAAAAAGGCAATATATAAATGTGGTATGAATATGTGAACACGAAAGGTATAAAATAAAAACTAAAGCATCCCTCTCTAAAAATAACTCCTGTTAACTGTTGGCAGGGAAAATCACATGCATTTGTCAGTATATTTACACAAACAGAATCATAAGAGCAATGTCTTAAGTTTTTTAAATCATTCATTTTAAAAATTAAATGAATTAAATTAAATCATTTTAAAAATTAAAAAATCATTCATTCTTTTTTTCCAAGTAGTGGTGTTAAAAATAAAATCTGACTTCCACTCCTGATGTTTCTTTTAAATCAGAGGCTGATAGTCACAGCTCAGCATGGGCAGTCATCTCTTTAGAGCACCTGTTTGACATGTTTAATTGGGCAGAGACCTGACTGAAGGTTCTGATTCCTTTTCTTCTGTGTCTCATATCAGGTCAGCTGCCCCATGCCAGCCCCTGAAATCAAAAGCGTTTTTCGGATGTTTTTTCTCTGTTAATGGCTCTGCAGGCTGCTTCCAGAGGGAATAGACATACTTCAAGGTTTCGAACCTTGAGCCTCCTGTTTTTGTTAGTCTCAAAGTGTGCCAGGGACCCTTTTAAAACATTCCCTGAAGTCGTTTCAAACCCCTCCTGCTTTCCCAACCCAGTCATGTTCTTTGGTTAAAGGTACTTGGAGAGTGACCAGAGGTCCAGCCATTGAAGGACATTAAGAGCCGTTGGGCCACTCGGGCTTCTCCGAGGTGACATCAGATTTTTGGATGTTAGTGAAACATGTCAGCTGCAATATTCCAGAGAAGCCATGAGGATAAGCCTTAAATCTTTGACCCTTTCCTCTTAGATTATCCGTGTCCTTTGGTGGTACTACTTCTCCAAACTCATAGAGTTTATGGACACCTTTTTCTTCATCCTGCGCAAGAACAACCACCAGATCACGATCCTGCACGTCTACCACCACACCTCAATGCTGAACATCTGGTGGTTTGTGATGAACTGGGTTCCCTGTGGCCACTGTAAGTATTAGACATGGGGACTTGGGGAGCAGGTGTGAGCAGGGAAGAGAGTTGAAACAAAGGCTTTCAGAAAAGGTGCTGTTTCTCTAAATGTCTAGGTCAGGCTTTCAGCTTTGTGTTCAAGTTGCTTTTAATGATGGTTTATGTACCTATGCACACAAAATTTTTTTTTTGGTAAAGTAAACTTTTCTGTGCTGATTGGGCAAGATGAGGTAGATACCACTGGGACATATTAATAGATACAGGCTGCGCGTGGTGGCTCACGCCTGTAATCCCAGCATCTTGGGAGGCCGAGATGGGCGGATGACAAGGTCAGCACTTCAAGACCAGCCTGGCCAACATGGTGGAACCCCATCTCTACCAAAAATACAAAAAATCAAGCACCTGTAATCCCAGCTACTCAGGAGGCTATGGCAAGAGAATCACATGAACCTGGGAGGCAGAAGTTGCAGTGAGTTGAGACCACACCACTGCACTCCAGCCTGGGTGACAGAGTGAGACTGTCTCAAAAAAAAAAGAAATAGGTACAATATTCTCTGTCTTGGAGGACAACTGTTCCATATTCTTTCTGATCCTTCTCTACAGTGTGTCAAGGAAAATAGGATCACACTGTTGCATGAGTACCAGGGAGCAGGGCTCATTTTGAAATACAGCTTTAGCTGTCATGCATTAAGAAGTCTCCACATGTTCTCACAACCCTCATATTCCCTGAAGCATGGTGATCTGGGTGTCTTCTATAACAAGCACCAAAACCTGATATAAATTATCTAAGGCTGTACCTGGTTTTTGGAAAGCTTGTAGTCTAAAGTTAATTACAATTTTCAGAGATTGCCACCTTCAGATTTAGTCTGGGAATTTTAGCAGATGTCTCAATCAAAAATCCTGTCATTCCCAACACTGAAGAATTTAAATGAGAACCTATGGGTCTATTTGTGGATATTTTTTCTCTAGGATAGCACTGCCCTTGATTACCTGAGCTCATCAGGATTCACAATGTCATGGAATTCTAGAACTAGGAAAAAAAAACTTTCTAAATACAGATCCTTTGGGTTTGGGAGGAAACTGAGACCACCGAAAGGTGGGTAGAGCTGGGGCTTTCTGCTCCCTCTCCCTCCCACTGTCACAGCTCGTGATGGTGGATTAACTGACCTAACTTTCTAATATAAACAGCCCCTCCCTAACATTTGAAGAGAGCTTTAAATTTTTGGAGACCTATTAGGAGGACAGATTTAATTAGCTCCACTTGGCCCATGAGAAACTGAACCAGGGAGTGGATGTGATGTGTCCAAAGTCACACAGCCAGCTCCTGTCATAGCCAGCTTTAGAAACTTCCCTAACACCAGCTGCACAGAGAAAAGCAAGATAGCTTTGATTGGTTGTTGACTGTGGAGGAGGACAGGGTCTGGAAAAAGAATTAGTGGTCCTACTAGATACTGAAAATGATGTGATAAGATGACTCTTTTATCTCTAAGGAGCTAGACTCTTGACTTTATTTTTAATAAAAATGTATGACCTCAGCACTGCAGTCCTGGGGAATAATTAGAATTTGGCTTCAGAGACCTCTCTAAACTCCAGCAAATGTATAGAAACAGCCATTTTTGAGTATGTTTGTTGCCCATCAGCTGTCTTCCCCCAGCCTTCAGAGAGCATGTCTGAGGCAGTTATGCACGTAAAGAAAAGCAGCTGCCTCTGGGAATTGGGGGGAATCTGGCCACAAAGCCTGTAGGTACCGGAGTGGTGCAGGTGGTGTTGTGGCTTCGTGTCAGATGCCCCACTAGCAGCTACAGCTGACCCCTGGACTCCAAGCCTCCTGGTGGCTGCCTGCCCAAATGGAAATGTAATTCTCATTATGCATCCATGCGGTGCTCACTGCTGCAGTGTTTGTCAGCCCTGTCGGAAATCATCTCTTTTTCAAAAAGAATCTTGGATTCCCCCTCACCTCCCGTTCTGTTTAAAACACTGATACATTCTCCTTTCCATATCCCTCTGTTCCTGCAGCTTATTTTGGTGCCACACTTAATAGCTTCATCCATGTCCTCATGTACTCGTACTATGGTTTGTCGTCCATCCCTTCCATGCGCCCATACCTCTGGTGGAAGAAGTACATCACTCAGGGGCAGTTGGTGAGTGACTTGGCCTCGTTCCCCCAGGAGTTGCTTCCTGGTGGATACTGACCTCTTCCTGGCTTTATTCTTATGTAATAGTATCTAAAAATCTGTCTCTTCTCCACCCTTTCTCATTTGATATAATTAAATTCCTTGAAGTGGGTAGATTAGGGAATTTTCTTATTTTGAATTGATAGTGAAACTGTAACTATGGGTGTACAGCTAGTTGAATTGTATAAAGAGGGCTAGAATCTAATTTGCCAACTTCAAGTTCACCTCTTCTGAGTTTGTGCACATAAGCACATATGCATGTCTCTGTGTGTGTGTGTGTGTGTGTGTGTGTGTGTGTGTGCGCGCGCGCATGCGCGTGCGCGTGTGTGTGTGTGTGTGTGTGTGTTTTCTAATTATAGTCCAAAATCCAAAATGAAAATTACGTGTTCCTGGGTGGTTTAGAGGGAACTGTAGAGTAGTATTGAGTCCAGGGTCTCTGTAGCCTATTACTGGGCAGCAAGAATATTTGTCTGGCAGATATGTGTGACCCCTCAGCCCCCATACAGTGGAATACCTGTTGGTGAGGATGGCGTGTTTGCTCCAGTTAACAGGTCTCTGCCCTGGTTTACTGCCAGGGCCAGGCCACTTCACCTGATACTTCTCCCCATCCTTTATTAAGCCTTCTCTGTTTATCAGTATATTATAGGTAACCTCTTTCTGTCCTCTCATGAATTCTTTTATGAACTAATTACTACTACTACTGCTCATGTTAAACACTCACAGTCCCTAAGTGTTGAGCACATGTTGGGCACTCATACTAAGTAAATTATTTTGCATAGATTGTTCCAGTAGCCTGATTTCATATTATTGTCCCCAGGTCAGGCACAGTGGTTCACGCCTGTAATTGCAGCATTTTTGGAGGCCGGGAGTTTAAGACCAGCCCGGGGAACATAGAGACCCTGTCTCTACCAAAAAAAACCCTATATTATTGTTCCTGTTTTATAGATGACACTGAGACAATAGGCCAAAGCTAGCTGTCTGAGGGGTGTGGACCTTAAACCTTTTGCCCTTGCCTTGCCTTGTTTACACATTTTCTAAAAAGACAAAGCTGATTCAGATCCCTTCAAGTCAATTATGATTTTCCAATATTTAAAAATAACAATCTGAAAAAAAGTTCTGAGAAAATCTTCTGAGCAACTTAAGTGTTTGACATTTCATTATCACCTCTCTGCCAGCTGCTGGACAGTCCTTGTTAATTTTTTCTCACCCACCTGTGAAAAAGGAAAAACATTGACTAAGCTCCTTGTTATACTTACGGAGAAACGATGCAGAAATTGATTTATACCACACAGTTTTGGGTCTGGTGGAAGCAGAATTTAACAAACAAACTGGCAAAGTTGGTCTCCTGTTAGGCTCTGTACTTTTAGATGGAAGATTAACCTTACCCAGGTCATCAGGATTTATTTTAAGCAGCACTCCTAGTTACTCCTCAGCCTGCAGTACTAACCTTAAAAAAGAGAAGGCAGACAGCCAGACACAGTGGTTATGGCTTGGAGTCCCATTTACTCGAGAGGCTGAGTTAGAAGGATATCTTGAACATAGGAATTCAAGGCCACCCTGGGCAACATAGCAAGACCCTGTCTCAAAAATAAAAAATAAAAAAAACTCTACATAGAAACATTGGAGCTGCCAAAAATACAGTGTGCAGAGTCTAGACCTTTTAAAACATTTTTCCACCCTTTCCCTAAGCAGTTCACATGCATTTCAAGCTTTATTCATCAAAAATAATCAATGCACTTAACGTTGTTTGCCAGTAAGGGTTTAAATCTACTCATCAGCCTTCACCAAACCAGAAGAGTACATGGATAAGAAGCTGGAAGAATGTCCAGCCAGATGGCACATCCTGCAGTGATGTTATCAGTGCTCTTTAAACATACACGCTCACTCTTCCTTCTTCTCCAAAAATAAAAACAAAACAAAAAGTTTCATCTCTCTATACTGTGTCCTTGAACTTTGGAGAAGGTAGTTTAAGTAGCTTGGAGGGCAGAGGAAGAATATGTATAAGACAAACACACCTAGAGTTTAGGATAAGTGTATGTGTTTTGTTCATGAAGTGACTGACTGCTGTACCTGCAGAAAGGGTAGTAATTCAGAAACTGAGATGATGCTGGGTAAAAAGTCTGCCTTGTGTGGGGTCTCCTGCATGCACTGTCCCTACTCAGCTGCATCTCCTCTGTTCCCCTAGCTTCAGTTTGTGCTGACAATCATCCAGACCAGCTGCGGGGTCATCTGGCCATGCACGTTCCCTCTTGGTTGGTTGTATTTCCAGATTGGATACATGATTTCCCTGATTGCTCTCTTCACAAACTTCTACATTCAGGTAAATCTCACTCTTCTCTGGCACTCGGTATCTGGGGCCTTTACCAACAAAGGCCCTCATCTGTTCACTTATTGGGCATGTGGAGCCCTTGCTGGGTGACAGGCTCTGGCCTCTCATGGAGTCACTATGACAGGGGCAGCCCCTGCCTCTAGGATCTCACAGCTCAAGCCCTGTTGTAGAGCCTGGGTGAGGAAGTCTTGGGATTCCCCTGAGAAATGGAAAACTGTGCAGCAGAACCCTGTGTAGCTTCCCTCTGACCTGCAGCAGAGACAGGAGAGGTGATTTCAGTCCGAAATCTCTCAGTTCACTACCCTGAACATCATGTCTAAATGAAATTTTGGAGATTTTTATCACAGACCTCAAATACTGAGACCTGCTTTTTTGTCCCAGCTTTCTTACACATTCAGCCCGCAGGTGTAAGGATTCAGTTCGTTCCTAAGCATCTGATCTGGTAACGTAGGTCTTGCTCACAGTAAGGTCCATTTAGGGCAGATCATCTCCAGTAGAGCCTGACCACATTGCAGCCACTGCTGATTCTCCTGCCATGCATCACGCCCAGGTGACGTGGGTCCTGCCATTGTTGCCAGTGCCTTGTAGCCGTAAGGCCTGTTCATCTGGGCAAAACACGGAGGTCAGGACCAAGGGCAGCAGTTGCGAGTCCTGAGGCTCAGAACATTTGTCCTTTCCTCCTGTGTGCCCATAGGCACCTGTGTGTGGCATGAGTTCAAGTTGAGGCCATATACTTATGGGCTTCGTAGTTCATGGCTGCACTGTGGGACATATACCAGGTACAAGGAAGGTGAAAGGATAGGAGCCAATGAAGCTGAAGTCACGTTTATTCTAACTGCTTACAGCAGCACAGCACTTCGTTCATGAAGGCTGAGATAGTCACTGAGGCAGTGAGGAAATTTGAAGACAAACAAGGGATGTGGGTGTTGAGAGAGCTACTGCCAGGTGGGAAAGACCAGTGTGGCCACATAACCCTTGTCATCTCCATCCAGATACTAAAAGGCAAAGCAGAGTAAGTGTAAATTGAATTTTCTATGTGACATTTTAAATGGCATTTCTTTTGCAGCCTATGATTCAGTTAACTTACCTCAGGCTAAGCCTCAAAAAAAAAAAAATGATTGAAACCAGTGACAAAAAATTTAATCATGGGTACTTGACTACAGGAGTTTCTCCTTGATAAGATTTGATCTTAAAAGGAAACTAGCTCTAGTGTTAGGGTTGCAGTTGGCAGTAAAGTTCCCTGTAAAGAAAACTGTCCGTGGCCATTTGGCTCTCATCTGTCCTTACACATTTTAGACCTACAACAAGAAGGAGGCCTCCCGAAGGAAAGACCACCTGAAGGACCACCAGAATGGGTCCGTGGCTGCTGTGAACGGACACACCAACAGTTTTTCACCCCTGGAAAACAATGTGAGGCCAAGGAAGCTGCGGAAGGATTGAGGACAAAGAATGAAACGCTCCAGACCACGTTATCTGATTGTAAGCACAATATGAGTTGTGCCCCGATGCTCGTTAACAGCTGCTGTAACTAGTCTGGCCTACAATAGTGTGATTCATGTAGGACCTTTTCATCAATTCAAAACCCCTAGAAAACATATACAGATTATATAAGTAGGGATAAGATTTCTAACATTTCTGGGCTCTCACTGACCCCTGCACTAGACTGTGGAAAGGGAGTATTATTGTAGTATACAACACTGCTGTTGCCTTATTAGTTATAACATGATAGGTGCTGAATTGTGATTCACAATTAAAAACACTGTAATCCAAACTTTTTTTTTTAACTGTAGATCATGCATGTGATTGTAAATGTAAATTTGTATAATGTTGTCGTGGTAGAGAAACACACATGCCTTAAAGTTTAAAAAGCAGGGCCCAAAGCTTATTAGTTTAAATTAGGGTATGTTTCAAGTTTGTATTAATTTGTAATAGCTCTGTTTAGAAAAAAATCGAAGACCGTGATTTATGAAACTAATGTGACATATTATTTCCAGTGACTTGTAGATGTGAAACCAGACACGGCACCTTCAGTTTTATACTATTGGCTTTGAATCAAGCAGGCTCAAATCTAGTGGAACAGTCAGTTTAACTTTTTAACAGATCTTATTTTTTTATTTTGATTGCAGCTATTAATAATGTAAAAAGGGGGGCCTCTAAAGCAGTCTTGATGAAACTTAAATATATATTCTTTGTCCTCAAGATTTTAGGAAGAGTGTAGGGCGAGTAGGCCATTTTTAATTTCTGAAGTGCTAAGTGTTTTTATACAGCAAACAAAAAGTCCATTTTGCTTTCCCACCAGTACGAGAGAGGATGTATTCTTTTCAGCAGAGATGATTGCGTCTTTACCATTTGATAGAGTCCCATAGATGAGCAATGGGGAACTGGTTGCCAGGGTCTAAATTTGGATTGATTTCTGTACTGTTAATCTGTTTTGACACAGACTTCCTTGTAAAATGTGCCTAGTTTACCAAAATTAACAAAGGGGGGGAAAAGGACTTTAAAAATTTTTAAGGTAAAATCAAGCATAGCTACAGCATAAGAGAATTGAGAAATTTGATAGGGGTGATTTGTTTAATGTATATCTAATAGTACTTGTAATTTCTTTCTGCTTAGAATCTAAAGATTTGTTTAGAACCTATTGTTTAAAAATAATAGACTGCTTATCATAAAATCATGTCTTATACATTTGAGGCAGTAGTCAGACAGATAAGGCCTATGATGTGTGTCATTTTAAAGTGTTGGAATTTAGCCTCTGAATACCTTCTCCACTGGGGGAAAGATATTCATGGAACCACTCATGACATACCTTAGAAGGTCATTGACAATGTATAAACTAATTGTTGGTTTGATATTTATGTAAATATCAGTTTACCATGCTTTAATTTTGCACATTCATATTATAGGGAATCTACTGGTTCTCTGTTAGTCTTGTGGGTTTTCTGTTTGAAAAGGAGTCATGGCATCTGTTTACATTTACCTTATCAAACTTAGAATGTGTATATTTATAAATGTATGTCTTCATTCCTAGGTACTAATTTGCAGGTGTCTTTACATATTTCAATACAGAAATTATAACATTCAATAGTGTGCTGTCAAAGTGTGCTTAGCTCACCTGAATATACCCACATTGTTAAATGTCTAAACAGTAATCATTAAAACATTTTTGATTACCTGTGCCTGCGTTTTACATTTTTTGTGCTGCCAATTCTGAAGAACTGGAGAAAAACCCACTTAGTTCACCCTCTAGGAACTTAACACAAATGGATGTAAATAATTCAGTTTGAAAGGTCATATTATTGCTTAGTTCTCATGAGGAGGGACCCTGCATAATAAGGCGGAGTGGTGGTTCCACCCTAAGGCTGTCCTCTCTACCTCCTCCAGGTAATCCCACTAAACGTTCCAGCACTAAACATGCTCCTTTATCCTTCCTGTCATTGTCCCAATCTCTCCCCTTACCCCAAGAATGTTAGAATTATTTTCCTAGGTCTAGACCATAGGTCTGCAAAATTTTTTTCTGGAAAGAACCAGTCGGAAAATGTTTCAGGCTTTGCAGGTCATACAGTCCCTGTTGCAGCCACTTAACTGTGTCATCGTGGAGCTCAAAAACAGCCAGAGACAATATGTAAATGAATGGGCATGGCTGTATTCTAATCAGGCTTTATTTACAAGCTCGGACAACACAGCAAGACCCCATCTCTATAAAAAAAAATTTTTGAATTAGCTGGGCATGGTGGTATACACCAGCAGTCCCAGCTGCTCAGGATGAAGCCAAAGATCGCTTGAACCCATGAGTTCCAGGTTATGGTGAGTTAGGATCATGTGACTGCACTCCAGCCTGGGCAACAGAGTGAGACCCCATCTCTTTAAAAAAAAAAAAAAATCTTTACTTACAAAACAGAAGGCCTGTGCCCATAGTTTTCTGCTGTTGAGTAATGAGGTTCCCTCCCCTTTGACCTAAAGCTCAATCATTTTCTTTCCCAAAGATCATTTTGTGTCCCAGGTTGTGGCCCTTCCCAGCCTATCCCACTCTGTTTGACTAAACAGGTACACACATGTCTACAACAGGAGGGATGACATGGATGGTCCATCTTCCTTCCATCTACTTCATACCATATGGTCCCAGTATAAAAGCTCAGTCTTGGCTTTTAGGTGCTTTCTAGTTTGGCAATATCACTTTAAAATTGTCATTATCACCTTAAAATGGTGATATTGACAAACTAGAAGGCACCCTAGAGCCAAGACTGAGCCTATACTGTTTTAAATGAGTTCACATGAAAGACATGTCAGTTATTGAAACTACCTGTGGATATGGCTGCAGAACTGTGAGAACTCCAGAGAAATGTCACCTAAAACTGCCTTTAGTACTTGGGATATTATCCAGAAGGTTCAAGAGGATTGTTGGGGAGTTGATGGTAATAAATTACATCTCTGTCTTTCCCTCTAAGTTAAGAACAAATTTAAAAAATAAGACATGGGAATCGGACCAGTAGGAATCAAAACAGCTTTTTACTAAGAAGGCTAGATTAGTGAAACGAAGACTACCGTGTGGCTCTCTAACCCTTCCTGATAACTCTATTACCCTAACTTACCAGGGCTCAGTAGTACACCAGTGGTTGCTCTGATGGTTGGTCTGGTGATAAAGTGGTTATTAAAATATATTAAATATCAGACCTGAAATTTACCTGCCTTAAATTGTAAACTCCCCTAGTAGTGGCAGATTCTACCCTGATGACCTTACCATGCTAAGAAAGTGTGCTTAGTGCATCTCCCAAGCAGCAATCAAAGTCTTCCCTCCTCCCTTCAGAGAAGCAAGTGGATGAGAGGCCAGAGAGAGACCGGATGTGTTCTGCTCTCCTCTTTCCTATATGGAAAAGGGGCCATTCCTATATCCCCCTCTCCCTCTATTTTTAGCAGCCTCGCTATTGTGTAGCCTAATATGAGAAGTACAACTTGGAGACCACATTGCCTGGATTGAAATCCTACCTGTAGGTCCTTTTGGCAAGAAAACTTTGCCTCAGTTTTCTCATCTGCCAAATGGGAATATTGTCAGTCCCTGTGTTATAGGGTCCTTGAAAGGATTGAATAAATGACTAATGATACTGTATAAAGAAAGCCTTTGGAACCACGTCTAGCTCAGAGTCAATTATATGTATCAGTGATAACCTTCAGGATTGTGATCTCAACTCACCCCACTGGTCTCTTTCAGCTGTAAGCTATTGTTTCACTGTTATTTCCCTGGTTGGCTGCTCTAGTAATCCTATGAAAAAAAGACAAGGAAGTTATTTGTGTGACATTTTCTTTGCTGAATCAGCGTTGAAATCAGCAATTCTTGGGAGTCAAATGTTCATCTATATTATTCCTGATTTTGCCATAGTTTTACATTAAATTCCCCATTCTGCAGTTTTTACAGTCTACTTTGGAAAATAGGGCAGGTATTATCAGTATTGGGACTTCGATTGTTCATTATTTCTCTGGAGCTATGACAATTCTGCAGTCATATCCGCAGGTTGTTTCAGTGACTGATATGTCTCATGAGAACTCATTTAAAACAAGTGTCTCCTGCTATCCCCTTATCACTCTTGGACTTCAAATCCTAAGCAAGTTTGTCCTACACTTAATTTGGAGATGATTGTCCTCAGTGGAGCAGATGGAGCAAAATAGCGGTTGCTGTCAGTTTTTTGCTCTGCTCTTTAGCATTGCATTATTGGCCATTAGTTCTTACTCCAGGTGTAGACTTAAAACCCATTTTTGTTATCCTTGACTTTTTTTTTTGAGACGGAATCTCACTCTGTCACCCAGGCTGGAGTGCAGTGGTGCGATCTCAGCTCACGGCAAATTCTGCCTCCTGGGTTCAATCAGTTCTCCTGCCTCAGCCTCTGAGTAGCTGGGACTACAGGCACATACCACCACGCCCAGCTAATCTTTGTATTTTTAGTAGAGACAGGGTTTTACCATATTGGCCAGGCTCAGAAAAGAGGTAACTTGCTTGTGGTCCCACAGTAGTAAATAGCAAGTTACCTCTCTTCTGAACCTCAGTTTCCTCAACTATAAAAAAGAGATACAATGCTTAGCTATGGCTGGAATTAAGTGTAGAAATGAAACAGAAAGCATTTAGCACAGGGCTTTACCCTAACAGTCACTTATCATCAAGAGTGGCTTATTCCCAATTAGGTAAGCAAGGAAGAAGATGTGTGTTAATCACTTTGGCAGCAGATTTAAAATTTTATTACTGAACACATTATTTTCACTGAAATATCCTTGGTTAAAGCTGTTAATACTAGCATTTAGTAAGATAACTCAAATTTCTCAAAAAAAAAAGGGATGAATTGAGTGTCTTAAATTCAATTGACTTGCAAAAATGATTTTAATATGAGAATTATCTAGTCGTAAGTGGTCACCCAAGAACAAAAATTATCTGTTTTGACACTAACTGGCATGTGATTCTGATAAGGTACATCATGGACTCTGGGTCTCCTCTAGAAACAAGGGGTTATGGGAGTGCCCCGTTTCCTTCTATCTTGGAACATTCTGTGATTCCAAAGTACCACTCCAGCATAGCCCTATTTTGCTTCTACCTCCTTTCCTTTTCAGGACATTGACATAAAGTAGAACATGTAGGCTGGGCACGGTGGCTCATGCCTATAATCCCAGCACTTTGGGAGGCTGAGGTAGGTGGATCACGAGGTCAGGAGTTTGAGACCAGCCTGGCCAACATGGTGAAACCCCGTCTCTACTAAAGATAAAAAATTAGCCAGGTGTGGTGGTGTGTGCCTGTAATCCCAGCTACTTGGGAGGCTGAGGTAGGAGAATCACTTGAAACCAGAAGGTGGAGGTTGCAGTGAGCAGAGATCACACCACTGCACTCCAACCTGGGCGAAAGAATGAAACTCTTATCTCAAAAAAAAAAGAACATGCTTCTTATACATCTGGAAGGTTAAACATTACACACAGGGCACAATGCAAGGAGTTCTGCACACAGGAACCTCTGCAGCTCTGGGACTGTGTGAACCACAGCACTCCTTGGGAAAGCTGCCTGCAGGCAAATAAGTGAATGTGAAATTAAGTGAGACTCTCTGCCACTGTATTGACTTTATATCACACTTTCATGTGGCTCTTTTAAATTGGTTCCTAACGTTTGGAGAATACGTTTAGGAAAGAATATTATATAATTCTTTACAACTCATTTTAAATTTACCTCAATTTGGGGAAAAGAATTGATGCGAGGTGATTTAAATGTGTTTCTTTATGGAATAAGATCAAGGGATTAAACAGCCTCCCAAGTGTCCACAGTGGCCCAAGATCCAAGTGAGAATAGACTGTGTCCCAGGAACTGCGTTGGGACTTGAAGTTTCTGAGGAAGTACAGGTAGGAATAGAATAGATGGAAGTACAACATTCAAATAGAAGGAAAAAACTGAAATGTTGATGAAATAACTACCAGAGAAGGAGTGCTTTTCCAGAGACAGTAGTTTTTCTCATGATCTGAATTAAACAGCAATGGTGTTCTTAGTGGCCTTCCAAATCATTGAGAACCACTAGCCGGCTCACCAGGGAGTCACTGCTGGCTCAGAAGGTGTTCTATCTAGAACACAGTTTCCAGAGTGATTCTGGAAAGAAGTCAGATGCAGAGCGCCTCTGCAGTGTGAGACACCAAGGTGCCTTCCTCACAGTATCTAGGAAGGAGCTCTCTTGACAGCTGTCTTCCCCATTTTGCTGAGGAAGCTGAAATCCAGAGAGGATAAATGACCCGCCCAAGGTAAGTGTGATGCTGGTGTTCAAATGGGCTCGCCTGGTCCAAAGCTGATATTAGGCATTGGAGCTCACTAGGCAGGGAGACAGCACAGAAAACAGCCCTTCAGACCCGCCCCTCTAGACACAATTACAGCTACAGGGACCCACATCATCCTGGCAACATCATTTTTTTTAATACTCTTAAGTTCTGGGGTACATGTGCAGAACGTGCAGGTTTGTTACATAGGTATACACTTGCCATGGTGATTTGCTGCATCCATCACCCCGTCATCTACATTAAGTATTTCTCCTAATGCTATCCCTCCCCTATACCCCACCCCCTGCTATCCCTCCCCTAGGCCCCCACTCCCCAACAGACCCCAGTGTGTGATGTTCCTTTCCCTGTGTCCATGTGCTCATTGTTCAACACCCACTTATGA